TTATAGTGATTACACTACAAAATATATTCCAAGTTTAAGTGGATAATAGTATCTTAACGCGCAATATTAATCATTTTAAACCGTTTTAGGCAGCTTTAATAAAAATAATTCGAAAGTATCTCTTCTTCTGTAAATTTATTATTTGATATTTTATTTCTAGGGCTATAGCGGTGGCCCTCTCATCGCAGTACATAATCACGAGCCTATTCAAATTGATATTGGCTGCATTCGGAGAGCGTGCTATTAGCGCTATTGTATCATTCTATCTTTATCGCTCATTAAATGTAAAACAAGGATAGAATAAGCAAATAGCGCTAATAGCGCGCTCCCCGAATGCAGCCATTGTGAGTTATGGAGATGGGTTTTGCCCTAGCTACTGTTCGATAGTGTATACTATAAGGTTTCTCCATTTATAAACTGGATTATTAATGATGTTACAGTGACCGGGATAATAAAGTGACCATCCCGTATCGTACATAGAAATATCTTAAAACTAATGTTTTTAATGGAAAAGCTGTTATCGGGCTTTTCTGAAACGATTATTATTACACTAATGTTAAAAGAATTGAAAGAGTTTTTGTAATAACAAGAACCTATAACTTTATCTTAACAAAACAAGTATTTTCATGTATGTGACATTATAAATCTTAATCTATACTTAAAAAAACCAAACTCTATAATATATTTAGTATGGTCTCTTTTGATCTTTTTAATGACTGCCGCCAACCATCTGAGCATACTTTCGACTAGATTATGCATGTATTATGGACTAGTAGTTAAAAAACATCGTGGACAGTGTGGAAGTTAAAAAAACATTGTAACAGTGTGGAAAGCATGAGAAATGCCACACTTAAGCATTTATGGTCAACTGATGAGGACTCACAGCCCGGCTTATACCTCGCCGGCGCGGCGCCGAGAGTTGGGGCAAATATCGATGCTGTAGAACCACGGTCTTACATACAGGTCTCTCAACTCGTATGGTGAGGATGGTTCGCTTGACGAAGTATGCCGAAAAGTATGAGGTCGCTGTCGAGGGATGTTCTATGAGAGAGAGAGACAATAGTAGGGCATACGCATTATATTGTAATCTAAGAATCCACAATTTCCATAATACATTTATAATAAATATATATATATATATACCAACGTTGATTCAAACAACGACAGAAACTTGACTAATGAATAAAATAATTCAATTGTAAGAAATTGTATTTACTATTGATAGGGTAGACCGGGGCACGTTGTCACACATTTTTTTAAATATTTTTTATATTTTTTACATTCAATATTTAAGAGTACTTTGATATGCCAAAATTTTGAGTAAACCCTCAGCTTCAATTGGACAGTATCGAATTTTGTGTGATTGTTACTCTACAGTTGTTACATAACAATAAATAACGACAGGTCGCTTGTGACAACGTGCCCCGTGACCGGGGCACGTTGTCACATCAAATGTAATTGCATGCAAAATGTAATCCAAACTGTATACAACGTAAATATCAATATATTATAGTGCGCTGCAATGTGAAAAAGTAAAATCCTTCACAGAAACATTTATTTTATTTCAAAAAAGTACAAAAAGCACGAAGTTTCCGTCTTAATCTAAATAGGCAAGAATTCCACTCGAATGCGCAACTTATTGATAAACATTTTTTCTTTTATAATCATGTCGGTGATTAAACATAAAATATTTTTATTCGTTATCGTCATCCAAAGATTCGCAATAGATTCCCATCAAATTCGTGACAACGTGCCCCGAGGGCATTTTTTTACTTCAAACAGCCTCATGTCTGACACGTTTGAGATATTCGTAAGGTTAGGTACATACTGCACGCGGTAGGTAAAAGTACCTACTTTAAGATAATATAAAGGTCTATTCTGAAAAAACATAAGCTTCATGTCCAGTACGTTGAATATTAGACAATAAAATTTTACTTATGGTCGCAAAAAACTTTCAAGTTGATTTTACGTCAACACGGCTGGCGCAATCTCAAGACTGTAAACACACCAAAGATGGGCATACACTAACACGTTTTGGGAATGACGGGTGCTGCCCTCCGGTTATTAGTTTTTTAAATAAAGCCAAAGTGACAACGTGCCCCGCGTGACAACGTGCCCCGGTCTACCCTACTATTGATACTATATGAATTATTTTATTCATTAGTCAAGTTTCTGTCGTTGTTTGAATCAACGTTGGTAAATACCTTCTCTGGGTTTTCCAAAGCTCTTCTGCGCAGTTAGCATTTACATTGTTATCCAATATTTGTGCAAACAAGTGTCTCCTTTCAATCATTTTTTTCCAATAAAAGCTGCGGTCCATTGAGGATGGATGTTGTACTGATTCGACTGGGATTTTCCCAGATCCGTGCCGAAAGTGCATACAGATGTGTAAACACGTGTGTAAACGGGAATGCTCATGTGAATGCCATGTCCACTGCATATGTATAAAGCCATCGACGGCGATACGCAAAAATAGTCGCAGATGCGCTTCGTTACAAAACGCTGTTATTAAGACGTTCTTATCAACAGAAATTTCTGTGATAAACCCGTGCAGTAATCACGATGATTTACCTTCAGGTAAGATTAGACTTACTCGGCGGGGAAGATTGCGTACCCCATAATTCAGCGCGGTGTCATATTAAATTTAAGCAAAATAACGGTCTGTTCAATTTTATTAGACAGAAAAACATACGTCTTTTATTTAAAATATCTAATATTTAAGTTATTAAGAACAAAGCGATGCTCTTTCTCTTTCAGTAACAAATTTTTTTTCTTTTGCAACGGGAATATAATTTGCAACAATATAATCCACTTTTATTTCACACATTAAAAAGATCATCTATTATTTATTAACGTCTTATAAATAGTCAAGCTCTTCCCGTAAAGAAATAATAGCTATTTGCTGGAAAGATTAAATGTCTTGTTTGCTGCGACAATAATGAGGTAAGCTCAGTGAGTTAATGCGGAGCCTTTAATGAGAGCAAGTGACATTATTTCAAAGAATACGTTTGTTTGACAATCAGTCAACATGCCGCAATTAGAACGTGACATCGTTGCATGTCATGCACGTTTTATTTTTCTTTTGGTATGTGGATAATAATAATTGCAAATTTTATTCAACTTCTCGTTTTAATGTGGAACACATGTAGATTGAGTACATGTGTAGGTATTTTATAATAAAGAACGGTAATTTATGTACATCTCGAGGGGTCACCTTGGATGACCTTGATATTTTAGTATGTTGTCAAGGTCACCCTCCTGAGTGACCTTCAGAAGGTTTTAACTCGCGCTCTTTGTTTATTCAAAAGTTATTTTAGCAGCGAATTGTTGCTTTCGGCTCGAAACGGGGTCTACAATTGTTGTTCTATAAACATCGTATAATAATTTCACAGAAAACGCGTGGACTCGTGGATGGTAGAGCTGAAAACAACGATTTACTGCTTTAAAAAACTTTTCTTTGTTCATGCATGTACTATTTCGACATATATTAGTCATTTATGCCTTTTAATACTCAAAATAACTGCTACATTTCTCCAATTTTTTTGTTAATAACTTTTGAATAAACAACGAGCGTGGGCTAAAACCTTCTGAAGGTTACTCAGGAGGGTGACCTTGACAACATACTAAATATCGAGGTCATCCAAGGTGACCTCGATGTACACAATTACCTAAAGAACAACTGTAAAGAGAACTTTCGGTAAATTTTGTCATCGATCGTGAATGATGTCAAGCGAAGAGATGAATTATTTAGCTTGACGTGCAAAGGTTTCTTTTTAAAACAAAAAATATTTAAATGATTCTCCGCTTCTGACATAATAATCCAATATATTCAGGTGCCGGTAGCCTTAAACGTACATGCATGCACTTAATCGCTCATCAGGCCGATTGATTTGCTAGTCTTGACCCATATGTAACAGTCGCATACAGAGAAAAATTGTGAGAGGAATTTTCGAATTTGCCAGAATAAATTAATTTGTAGAATTTATGGCAAATTTATTATAAACTAAATAATCTTTCTTAGATTTGATAAATTTCGGTAAATTCGATAAAAATTCTCGACGCGAGGATTGATAAAAGACTGTCGCGTCAATGAAGAGAAAATTTGATGCACATAGTCTCTAAAAAATTTCAATTTTGAAAAATCTTAGTGGTTTAAAACGCATTTCTCGGATCGTTAAAGGAATTATTTTTTACTGCGCTAACGAAGATAAAGATCTTCGGAGATTTTCCGAGAAGTAAAAGGCTCGAAGGACTACAATGCCTTTTTAAAGGCAGTGGGGATTTTTCTGACAATAAACTCGGATTATGATGGACATTTCCAAGAGACGAGAACGTAATGATAGGTTCGTACGAGAGGTATATGTACATACATAAACATGTTCAGGGTCGTGGTGGATTTCGCTTGACTGAAATAAAGATCAGGAAGATTGCTCACATTTCACTACATATGTTAGATGTGTACACGTCCGTTTTTTACTTAAAAAAACAAATGAACCAAGCGAATAGATTTAACATTAGAACTATGAAATGACCCGTTTGACATTTTTTAATAATTTATTCCTCATTTTTAAAACATTTTAATTTCTGAAATTTTCCCTGACTTTTATTGAAATTTCATAAATAATTAATTTTATTAATTTTTTTTCTCTTTTTCTCTTTTCTTTTCTAAAATTTCTTCGGTAGAACTAAATCTGGACTAATCTCTGCAGGTAATTCTAGTGTGAACGCACGTTAAAATTATATATGTAGAAAAGCTTTCTTTAATTTACATATATATATATATATTTAAGTACAATTTTGAGTCTTAATAATTCCCAAATTTTTCTTAAAATTTTTGCAAAATTTCTTTAAATGCATCTTTGTCAGATTTCTTCGATTTTTCTTCGTGTAATCCGAGCCTGGATCTCCAACTTGTCGTGTACGTCGTGACGTTTTCCACGCAAACGTGACAAACCAGTAGTGGGGAAGAGTGGGGTTACTCAAAGGCATTCTCCTCTGGCGTCTCTTCCTGATCGCTTGGACTTAAGTCAGTTCTGCCTCTTCTCGATCGTCGTTCGGACGTCCAACACTAGTCCCACCAATTAATCGACACGTTGATTTGCCGTTTTCCTGAAGCTCCGAGAGAGTGTCGAACAATGTTGTTCCTCACGGTGAGTGTCAACACATTCATCCGTTTTTCTTCTGACATTCCATTCATCTCGTTTCGTAAAGTCCGTTATTTGCTGAGAAGATGTATGAGGGGACGATCTTTCATGCTACGAAATTCGTTGGAATATTATTCATGTGTTGTTAGCATCGGAGATTGGCTCTCGATGATCGTGAGTATCGTGTGTCGTTGTACTCCATCCTGCAATGACCCTTGATTGCCAGCCTGGTCGGAAGTTCAACCGCGATAAGTCTTATCGAAAGATTCGCGAGTGTTTTCTCCCCTTCGAGAAAAAAATTCTGAATTAATTTCCAGCGAGAGAGAGATATAATTATATATATTTAAAAAAGTTATCAACTTTGAGTTTAAAAACGTTTTTAATTTTTAAATTTTTGGAGAAATGTTGGACGGTTTATTAAAAATGTCAAATTTCTTATTTTTCCGATTAATAACATAAAATTTCTAGTATAATTAATTTTAATACAATTATAGTAATTATTAATATTTAATACACAAAACTGATTCAAAATTGATCGGTGATTTTAGAAACGAAGTAAATTTGTAATGATAATTTTCAGATGTTCGATGGGAGAAGTTCTCCCGTATGTAAACAATGTTATTAATGCTAGAACACGGTCTATTTTTATTTCGTTTTATCTCGAACGACGTCAGATATTTATATAATAATGTTATAATCTCTCTTGATATCCACAAACATACTGGTACACGCATATATTCAATACTCGACGTAGATCAAGCATTTTTTACAATAAAAACAATGGAAATGATGGCGTGATATCATCAGGCAGAATCCTCTAACTAATATTTCGTATTTTTAGTATGCATTTAATGTTAAGCATATTTGGTTGTCTGTTGACATTGAATACTATTAAGCTATAATAATAAAAATTTTAATTAAAGGCAACGTTTTTTTTTGCTTCAGGACAAATATTGACTTTACTCATAAATTTTTTATTGTAATTTTGAGTTCGTAATTTTCAGATGTTTTCATTTTAACGTTTTCCAAAAAATTATTTGTATATTATTTCGTAAATATGTTTAATTGCAAGAAATTTTTATGTTTCTTTAGATGAAAGGAACAATAAATGTCATGCAGTTCTATTTTTCTTATTTTCTTAAATAATTTTATATGAACGTTGTCCTTCAAAATCGTTGTTCTTCAAAATCAACAAATCTATACGAACTGCTGAATCAATAAGAACTGTTTTCTTAACGATTCTAGATTTAGAATTCGGAGACTTGTGACTGAGACTTTTATAAATATTTGAAACTTTGGCACATAATTCTATATGTTCTTTTATGGTTATTTTAAAAAATATTAATAATGACGGAAGTTATTGGTAATAAAGGAAAATAGTTCTTTCCGTTCAGTAACTGGTGGTGGACGTGATTCCGGAGTAACAAAAAAATCTAAAACAAAATTAAAAAACAGATTCATAACCTAGAAAAGTGTCTCTAAAATGTGTTAAAAAGCAAATTTAAAAAAAAATTATTTTCAATTTTATTAAAGAAAATGCAATTTTATACTTGTTTTGCAACTAAAATAGTTTTTATTTATTTAAAGAATTTTTTTCAAAATTCTGTTTCCGACACATTTTAAATATTGTTTCAACAAACTTATGAAAAATGTTTGAAAGACATTGTTAGAGTCGTTTTCGAAATTTTATGTCCATCACCAGCTGCTGAACTGCTTCCCATCATTACCAATAACTCCCGTTATTATTAATTATTTAATGATTAATAATTTAATAATTTTTTTCTTAAAATAAAAGAACATAGAATCATGTACCGAAGTTTCAAATACGCAGTTTTTTATTTCTTAAATATTTAATTTGATAAAAAAAGATAAATTTTTTGCTTGTCAAAGTTGGCCGCCCACTTAATTAACTAAAATTCTCTGTATTATGGTTTTATGACCTGTAATGACTCAATTGGACAAACGTGTCTACGGCTAATTCAGACCTTTACGCCTTAAAATGTTTACGTAAGGAAGAAACTATGCGCCGTTCTTACGCTTCTCACGGAATTCCCCTGTCGCGTTCGCACTGCTTGATCATTCATAAATTCTTACGTCACGAGCAATTACCCCGAGCTATTTGATCTCGAGCGAACGAACAAAAGGAAAAAAAAATGAAGAGTTTGAGCTTGAGAGCGAGGCAGATTGTAAGCGAGCACGCTTGTCATGAATTGTATACACGATACATGATCATCATGATAACGATCATCGTACAATGCGAACAAAGAACTTACGTGGCATTTCATTGCCTAATCGCACTATCGATCTCATTAAATTCTAATTATAAGTCAGAGAGATCTTTAAAATTAAATTGCAATTCTAGCCTTAATTCACTGTCCTCGTCATTTTTAATTTTTATTTAAGCGAATTCTCATTTTTCACTTCTAATTTCAATTCACCTCTTTTCTGATTTCTACTACGTCTTTACTTTTAAATGCTCACCATTTTCGGGGCAGATACAACTCGTAAGCATTGCCGTGTATATGTACGTTCACAAATTTATTTAATTTTAATTCAGGTTACGGTTTTATTGGAATTTTTGTTTCAATTCCAATTTTAATTGTTTTATTTTAATTTTAAAAATCTAGTTTTAATTTACTAATTCCGATTTTTATTTGAATTTTAATCCTAATTCTAGAATTTATTCAAGGAAGTGAAGAATTATGATTGTAGTCTCACCAACACACAAATTGGAAATTACATTATATACATTACCGCTTATTAATTATCTCGTAAAATTTATATCACGCGTTACCGGGAAAGTCACAAGTCGTCATTGAAAATACCGCTTTTGTCAACCGAGAGTTTTCGTCACACCTTAATTTTAGTCATGAAAGCAGGATGCCCTATGATGTCATGGTACTAGCTTCACCGGCTGCTTTCACTCGCCGTTAGCCTCCGATTTCCGATCCGGTCGCAATTTCGCCGCAATTGCGCAGGAAAGTAACGAACCGAGGAAACATGCCCCTCCCTGAGGAAGAAAGTTGCGAAGGAATCGCGCGGGGCTTATGTCATTTCAAACAGAGATGCCTCCTGGAATTCAAGTATACGCAAGATGGACCGATTATAGTGATCGCGAAAAGAATGCTTACCATTCTACCTTTTATACCTCGTGAAAAAAACAGAAAAAGTAAAGAAAACATTTTAATCTTTGGATGAATCCTTGATCTTTAAATGATTGGGGTCCTCTATTCGGAATTAGTTATCGCTAAACAACTTGCAATCAGCCGCGATGAAGCGACCGGCGATATAACGATCGCGTGGCGAGCGATACGGTCTAGAAATTCGCATAAAAGCCGTGGTACATAGAAAAACTTAAAGCAGTAAGGAAATCAACGGTATAGATTCGTTACCGCTTAGGGTCGTGCCTTAAGTTCTTGACTGTGATTGGCTGATTTGCTTACTACTTGAGTTTTACTGCTTAAGTTTTTCTGTGTGCCACGGCCTTAAATTATAGGCCATTGTCGCGAGGAGCATCGTGCACGTTGCAAAACGATAAAAAAAGTACCGGAGACCCAGATTCCTTCCGTCGACGTCTTCTGCATCAAACGCGCACGATTCCTCGTCGTCACCGCTTTCTCCGCCGTGCGAGAAAGTTTTTTTTCTCTCGATCGAATATTCCAGGGAATGATGCCAGCGCGTGCGTTTCATGCACGCGTTAGATCTTTTTATGTTCGGATATACGTGTATATAAATTTGGTAAATCGCCGTCGAGTATAAACAAATTGAATTCGCTATTACTCGCTGTCGCTATGATACGAAAGTCTTCGAGAGATTTCTCCTTTGGAGATTAAACCTTTCGAGAGATCCCGATTAGCTTCATTTTGTATTGTATAATCAACCTCCTAAAGCGGCTTGCTTCGTAAAACATCCCAGACGATAATAATATCCCATCAGACAGCAAACATATCCAAAATCGGAACATAAGACGTACGTCTTCAAGACACGTTGTTAAGACATCTTTAAGACGTCTTATGTCCTGATTTTGGGCATGGTGCTGCCTGGGATATTATTATTGTTGTCATGAAGAACACGTCGTTACATAACGTTGATTAGAATCCAATCTTTATATGTAAATATTAACATATATATATATATATATTTTATTAAAACATATTTTATTTAATAACATGTAACATCGCTGAAGTAAAGTTACAATCCAGGCAACACGCCTGTCTCAAATCGGGAGATATGACGTCTTAGAGACGTCTTAATGACGTCTTTAAGACGTCTTATTTCCCCGATGTGACACATTATGTTCACTGGAAATATTTTTCTTTCTCTTATTTCTATTTTCATTTTTGCAGGCGATACCGTTGCTGTCGGCGATTAGCATGATTTCGGCGCAATGTTTAACAGGAGATGATGTCCCCTCGGTAATGGACCCAACGTCGAGGGTGTCGTTAACGGATGCCCGATTTGACTTCGCGCTCGACAGTCTGAAGAAGACCGCGTTGATCGAGTCGAAGGACAACATCTTCTTCAGCCCGCACAGCATACACCAGGCCTTGAGCCTGGCGTACTTCGGCGCTCGCGGTACCACCGAGGAATCCCTGAAGCAGGCCCTCCACATTCCAAATGAACTCTCGAAAGTTGACGTTCAACGTTACTATGCCATCGAGAGATCGCTCAATCAAATGCGTTCTCAGGTGAGTGATTCCGGCGCGATTGCGTGATTTACTTCGTCGTCGCCGGAGGTATGTCAAGGTGACCATCGCGCAGTTTATCCTCACATCAACGCCGGGAGGTAAATCGCGTTCGGATCCTCAAGGTCCTGAAGGTTGCTGTTTGAGAATCGCGAATCCCCTTGGCCGACTTTTAAGATTGTCTTGTCTTGTTCAGCGAAATGCTTAATTGCATGGACGAATTTGAATGACGTAACGTAGAGATTTCCGCGTAAAGAAACCGATAAGAAATGGTGGAAATAAATTTCAAGTTTACATATTAAAGGATCTGTAATGCGCCTGAATTATGGTGTAATATCGAAGTATGGTGGGTCAAAAGATATTTGTTATTACAGAGGATTTATTAAAAAATAACGAAAATGGAAATATATTTTTAACAAGGAAAATTATATTCGACACTAATTGGCAAAAATCGTTTATTTGTATATCTCATGACGTTTCAACCATTGATTTTGGTCCTTCTTAAGTGTTATTTTAATTTACATATGTCGTATACAACTAATCTTAATTATGGCATTGTGCTAGAACAAGCCAAATATATTTTTAAGCAAAACAAAGAAAGAAAAAATTCAAGATTAAAAACTGAAATATATCGCAGCAGGTTCTTTAAAAACGGAACTTAGAACAAGAAATTTAAATTATGTTTTGCACAGACAAAATATTTGGCTTTGGATTCTATTTAATTTTAATAAAATAATTTAGTGAGTTTATGAAGTAATTTAGACATTTTTGAAATTTATTATTTCGAGGATGGAAATTTTTTTAAAGTCATGCTTGTATGAATGTGATGTACAAATAAAGTTTGTAAGAACTTACTCAGACAGAACGCAAAATTGAGACATAAGGTGTCTTTAAGACATTTAATTTTAAGAGGTCTTATGTCTCGATTTTTGATATGATGCTGTCTGGATATTACCTCAGCGATTTCGCACAGAAATTCTCGGAAATCTTGGAAGAAAATGATTTCTTTATCCTTGATATTATTCATTTCAGATGAATGGATCCGCAGATTCCTACGATTACAAAATTGCTAATAGGTTTTGGATTACGAATTCCAAGAGGCTGCGCGAATGTATGCTCGATTTCTTCGGGGATCAGTTGCAAGTAACAAATTTCAGTACGAATCCTACTGAAGTGAGAAATCAGATTAATAATTGGGTCAGCAATATGACGAAAGGTCACATTCGCGATCTCCTGCCGCCGAGCAGCATTGGGGAAGATACCGATCTCGTTCTGGTAAACGCGGTCTATTTTAAGGGCCTCTGGGCCAATCGTTTCGACCCGAAGAACTCTAAACGCGACATCTTCTATGCCTCCGGCACGCAAAACTCTGTCACCACTTTCATGCGTCAGAAAGGGAACTTCAATCACGGTAAGTAAACGTCATTATATACATTCGGACTTTATCTCATTGACTTATCTACTACTTGACTTTTTTAATTAAATATAAACGAAATATTTTTTATATTTTACTTTGTAAAAGATTTATTCAAATTTATGTGTAAATTATAATATTGGATATCTTTATAAAAATGTGAAATATTGAAATGAGATTATAAACACGGTCTCCAATTTTGATAAACGTCAAAAGCATTAGGTAAATGCTTAAACATCGATCTTATAATAAATCTGACATTTCGTATGTACATCGCGACTTAATTCGACCTTCATTCATCTATTTTTTTTTCTAATCTTAGTTTCTTCTTTTCAGCTGTCTCTGATGAGCTAGGTGCATATATCTTGGAATTACCTTACAAAGGTAATGAGATTTCGATGTTCGTGCTGCTCCCTCCGTTCTCCACCGCACGGTCTGTACAAAATTCTTCCAACGAGCCGCAGGACGGCATCCGTCAATTGGTGGAACGTCTGGCGACGGAGAAGGGGTCGCGGGAACTACGCGAATTGCTGGACGATGGGTTACCGCCGCGCGAGGTCGAGGTCAGCCTGCCACGTTTCGAGTTCGAGCGAGAGCTGCCAATTAGTCAGCTGCTGCACGCTCTAGGCGCTGGTGAACTGGTGACACCCAACGTGGCCGATCTGCGCGGCTTTGTCGCGGACGGCGAGCAGACTCTGCACCTCGGTGATGCCGTACATCGTGCTCGTATCGAGGTCACGGAGGAGGGTACTACTGCGGCCGCGGCCACCGCGATCTTTACCTTCCGCTCCAGCCGGCCCACCGAACCCGCCATCTTCAACGCCAACCACCCGTTTGTTTACCTGATCTATAACAAGGCTGATCACACTATTCTCTTTACCGGCATTTTCCGCTCACCAGGCACAGCCCAACCAACAAATTCCCTGACTCCCGGTGCTGTTTAGGTAGATCCTGACATTTAGGTCGTTTAAAAGAAACTCAGTCTTGGAGAGATAGTCGAGCAGTGAAGTCTGACGATGTGACGAGGGTTGACACATTTGTCATTCTATTTCTTTTTAATCAATTGATACCATTTTACAGGATCTGTTTCTCGTTGATTTTTGTTAATGATCGAAAACAGTTGGCCCTTTGAATTACGTGAAACTGACGTCACGGATCTTCAAATCAGCGAATTTTCAAAGTATTGAAGGAAGGGTCCCCCATTTTTCAATGATTTTTCAAGAGGAGTCCGTTGCATGAATCTCATTAATTTATTCTCGTATTTAGATTTTATACTTTATGACGTCTTATTTTTAAAGTTAGATAAAGACGAGTGTAAAACAAAACAAAAACTTACACGTAAAGACGTTACCGTTAATTTCTGATAATATACATATATAGAAATTCGCGAACTTCGGCGAAGGGTGATCTCGCCGATTAACTGAAACAATTGTTCGACAAATATTTCTTCCTTTCAGTCCAAAAATGAAATTATTCTATAATGTATTTGGATAGAAAACTAAAAATAGTAAAAAAAGCAAAGATTTATGCAATAAAAAAAAAGAATAAAAATGTTTTTAAACATATGTATAATTCGGTTTTAACATAAATTTTTTTTATTAAGCGGTCTGATAGATCATGGCATACTTTCTTTGTAAACTTTTTGAATTTTTGCAATATCTTCAAAATTGAAGAAAATATAGTACACGAAAATGTGCTGTGACGTCATTTCTTATATAAGTCATACCCTTTGAAGTTGTCGTCATCAAAGAAACTTTAGCTAGCTATAACTTTCTCAAATTTAGGTTTTTTTTTAATTCAAAAAGTACTAAAAATTGGCTTAGATTCTCTACATTAATTATGGATACCACTTAATAAAAAAAAATGTTAAACCCGAATTATTTGTTGTAATTAAATGTTTTTAAATTTATTCTAATATTATCATGATTATAATTCGATAGCGGCAGCATGGACATGATAGAGAAGATATTTGAGTGAATATAAAAATAAGTCGTTAGCTTGAATCATAAACTCAAAATAGAACATTATATAATGCAGGGAAAATTACCGCTAGAATATATAAACAAAATGTCCGCATGACTTCATCTCACAATCAGTCTCTGAATATTTTTTGGCTTTGTTATCGTTTATTTCAAGTTTTCATGTGGTTGCGGCGTCCTCACCAAATTGCGTTAGTAAATATATAAATAACATTATCGATTGATATCGACTGCTTATGTATTATTTATCCTACCCCAGTAAACAAGGAACATATATTAAATTAACGTTTAGAAATATTGACTTTATGTGTATTTTTTAAACGTTTCTTAATATTATACACATATTTGAAAAATATTATTTCGTAATATGATTTTTCTGAATGTTGTTAAAATATTTTAAAAACGTTACAGAAAATATTCAAATGTTACTCTGACATTTAGGTAAATGTCTAGATTAAGGGTGACTTCACCGATTTCAATGACTTTGATATATGTTGTCAAGGTCATGGCCCCGAGTGACCTTTAGAAGGTTTTAGCCGTCGCTCGTTATTCGTTAAAAAGTTATTAACAAAAAAAAGTTTAGAAAATATAGCAGCTATTTTGAGTATTGAAAGGCATAAATGACTAATATATATGTCGAAATAGTTCACGCATACACTTTCCACGCGAAACGAAGTGCCACATGGGTTCGTAGCGTGCCTTACAAGCTCATTTAAGTAGAGGTAGTATTAAACAATTGATCAATGTAATGAAAAAAATTGCATATTCTATATAAAAAACTGATTCAAAAAGTCCTTTACAGTTTTTGGACATTTTTAATATTAAGCGGGATATTGCAATTTAAAATTTGAATAATTTCTCAAATAAAGCTTTACAATAAAGCTTTACGAGCCACGCGCTCGGTAATTCGATTAAAGACAGGACACTCGACAGGACTGCAGATTTCCCTACTTGCTCCATGTCTATGCACTTGTATAGAATTTGCTTAATTAAAAAAAAATAACCTAAAGATGTAACAAAATTTATTTTTTATATCACAGTTTATTAACATATTTTAAGAAGTGTTCTTTTGGCTTTGAAGCTGTACACAAGTATTCAATTTTGAGATTTCGAGGCAATCTTTTTCTTATTCACGGAATATGTATTAGACATGCACCTCAATAGGTACTTAATTTGAGAAATTATTCAAACTTTAACTTCTCTCGCTTAATATTAAAGATATTAAAAAACTGTAAAAGACTTTTTGACTTAGTTTTTTATGTAAAATATTCGATTTTTTTTAACGATATACATCAATCGAACACTCTGTATAGTATTATAGTCATAAAATATGTAGTATAAT